CTCCCTCCCTCCCTTCCTTCCTTTCCAGGCAGAGAAGTTGAAGCCCTTAATTGCTGGCTCCTCTTATGATTTTTTTTAAGGTAATCTAAAAAGAATGCTTTCTGAAACGACAGAACAAGAGCAACCAAAGGAACTTAAGGGTTTGCATTTTCCTCTTGAATTGCTCACCATCAGTTAGGACGATAATGATATGATGTACTGTGGAGGTTACAGGAGTGGGGTTCAGCCCCTGCTGCTTCTCTTTCAAGTCCTGCAAAACCATCATCTCATAGACGGATTGAAAGCCTTTTCTGATGTTGGTTCCAGGCTTCAGCTTGTGTACTAGAAAACAAAAATGCACAGTTGAATGGTGCACTAGTTGGTGACCCTTAACAAGTCCCAATGTGGACATTTACAACCAAATTTCATGTATCTGATCACAAAAGCCTTCAGTGTGAAACTGATTAAGGTCTGGTCAGTTTCAGGTAGCAGCCCAAGCTGTTCAGGGGTTCTAATCAACTAAGTCACAGAGCTGAGCTTGTTAACTTGCAGGAAGCACTTTTTAGGAAACTGCTGCACTGAGGAGAAAAGCAGCTCAGGAAGAGATAACTTGTTTAGGCAAACTCTCCGCTCTGTGAGGGGGCAAAAAAAGTGGGGGGGGGGAGGAATGGGTCAGGCACAGGACACTGTATGACAGAACTTTATCTGAACGAGACGGCAGCAACCAGTGATCTTTGCAGCCTCTCTCTTTCTCTCAGTCACCTGTTTGCTTAGCGACTATTTTTCTTAACAACGAAATGGCTGGAATGGATTGAGGTTGCTAAATGAGGAGAGCGTGTATTCAGAACCCTTGTTCATAGGGCAACGTTAATTCTCTCTTTTTCTCCAAGTAGCCTTGTTAGCTAATTGAATTCCAGAAAGCCCTGCAAAACTCTAGGATGCTCACGGCTCTAACTTTGCAGAGGAGGGCCCTCGATGTGGAGAACTATGCTCCACTGGAAGGCGCCTTCTGTTTAAAGACCCTCCCAGTCCAAACCTGGATTAAATATAAAGAAGCACAAGGGGGAGAGAACAGGAGGTGCCTTGAATTTAGCAGCAGCATTTGGTCAGCAGACGGAGGAGGAACACCAGTTCCTGGTTCTTACAGTGAGAACATTTCTGTTCAAGTCATAGTAGCAATGTCTAAATTTGATCCTCTAGAGCAGGGTTCCTCAACCTTGGCAACTTTAAGATGGGTGGACTTCAACTCCCAGAAT